ATAGAAATCTGTATGCGATTCTTCACATGGACTTATGGAGCCATTATTTGAGGCAATAGTTTTGTTGATCTTCAAGTTCGAAAATTGACAAGGATATTGATCGTTTTAATAGGAATTTTGATCTTGATATGTTTTTCTTTGTTTGGTAGGTAGGGAAGATTGGATGGGACTGAACATTGTCAAGTAAGAAAAAGAAATTTGAACATTGTTCATTGTAGTGTCCAATCGAGTTCAACATACCAGACATACATTTTCTACAAGTTTGGTATTCAACAGTGTAATAAACAAATTTTTTAACTTCTTTTTTCATTGAATAATAGCTAGTGCTATCTAGTGCCATCCGATCCTCCATATCAAACATGCCATTAGTGGATAAAAGTATTCACTGTCTCGTAACCTGTTCTTTTACATGGAATTATGCTTGGTAAGTTAGCACTGGTCTGGTACTGTGTCTAGTGTTTTATGGCTGTCTCGTTTAGTTTTCTGCATAGGATGTTACCAACTGTTTTCTTTTTAATTCAATAGCTAAAACTGGCACTGTAAAATGAATTTGCCTCATTATTGGCCCATTTTTGGAGTATCTTTAATATACTTCTTTAATGTCTTCATCAGTCTAATTTAAGTCTAGTAGCATGAAAAAAAGAGCGGTCAGAATTTCTAATATTTGAGGTCTCTCTGGAGTTGGGCAATTAATTTGTCTGAAAATGTGACTTCGACTCGAAGAACAGCTACTTCGAGTGGTAATAATAATACACCTTAGATCTACCTAGAGTGAAATTCCGTGCAGAATTCTTATTTACTGATTTTTGAACTGTTCAATATGCTTGAACATTAGAATTTTTGCTGGCTAATGACTGTTCAAATTTTGTATTCCAAGTATTTTCTTTCAGTCTTCAAATAGGAATAGCCAAATAGATGCTTGTAGGAGAAGCCTATCTCCACATTATTTGGAGTACCTATACCAAGCTCTGTATACCAATAAGCCCTGTAAAATATTGTAATTCTTTTTGAAAATGTAAACAAAGAACAGAACTGCTCATTTTGTTGTTTTTTCACAGCTTTGATTTGCCTTCTATTTATTTTTAATACAAATGAGAATGCACTTGATATTGAATTTCTCCTATGCTCACTTTTTATGGTTGTCATTGTCTTTTTTCCTTTTTCAGACTTTGAGCAGATAAAACATAAGATGACTTTGTATTTCCCTGTTTGTATGCAAGTCCCGTTCATTTTTTTCCTTTTGTTGTTTCTTAGTACGTTATTATCGAGCATAATACATTGCGCATATTTGGTGAAGCTGAGAAATGTGAAATTGGACCTTTCAGTCGATGTTTTCAAATATATGTTTTGTTTGCCTGTATATTTTATGTATACGTGTTTACCATTTCAGGTGCCTACTGTTCCCAGCCATGTTCATTCTATCAATGACACCGTGACAGCAGAACAAGCTGCAGAGGACTATGAGTTTGTCATCAGACAGCACGTAAGGACTCGTGTGATCGATGTATGTGAAATTAATGACTGCCCAAAGTTTGACCTCATCCTTCTTGGAATGGGGTCGGATGGGCACATCGCATCACTGTTTCCTGATCATTCAGCACTCGATGAGAAAGAACTATGGGTGACATTTATAACCGACTCGCCGAAGCCTCCACCAGAGCGAATCACTTTCACATTGCCAGTTATAAACTCCGCTTCTGAAGTTGCTGTAGTTGTGACAGGTGGCAGCAAAGCAGAGGCTGCCCACCTGGCAATTGATGATATCGGGCCAGATTGTCCGGCACTACCAGCGAAAATGGTGCGCCCAACTGAAGGCAAGTTGGTGTGGTTTCTTGATCAAGCAGCTGCATCAAAACTTGATGGTGAAATAGGTTTTAGTACTTGTGGAAGTGGAAGTCTATGTATTTAGTGAAGGGATACTGGAACTTTGTTTTGCGTTAGGGCCTTTTTCTTTCTTGTGGATCTCTATTCAAGGAAGGAAAAACAATAAATGCAATGAAAAAGGGAAACAAAAAAAATCTGCTTTTTTCTATGGCTTGTTTTCTTGATTTGCTTTCTCTATTTATTAGAAGGATTTGCGAAGTTCCTTCTCTTTGAGAAAATAAGTGTTAGCTGAGGCTTAGGAACTAGGGATTGTTACGTTGGTGGTGACAACACTAGAATATAATTTGAAAAGGAAAAGAAAGTTGGAATATTGTTTGATGTCCTTATAGATAGCCTATCTAGTAATGAATATCAAATATGCCGTTGTAATAATTTGAGATAATTTCTTTGATTTCTAGAGAAGAATGGCCGGGATGTGTCAAAATCTTGACCTCCTCAATGAAATAGATCCACGAGTAAATGAAAAAGAAAATCAAACAACCTAGAGAACTTACAGTTGTCTTTACAAAGAGTTGTAATGGAGAAGAATATAAATAGAAGCTGATCGATGCAATGAACGTCACTTGTGATATCCTTATCGAAAGAACAGTGCTATCTATCATCATCAGTTTAGATAGTAGTGGATGCCCTGATTTATTGTCTAATGAAGTTGAAATACATTTTAATACACTGAATAATGAATTAAAATGTTCACAGTCACCTAAACTAATGATGATATATGACATCATTCATCTGAAAAATCTAAGATTTCTTTAAGTGAAAAATACACAAAACAAGAGTTTTCAAGATTCAATTTCAAATTTACGATATTAAGTTTCACTTTTCAAAAATCAAATATTTTATTTTTAAATATTAAATATAAAATTTTCAATCCCCATCCCCATCCCCATCCCCTAACCATAAACTCTTTTTCCTNATTCAATTTCAAATTTAAGATATTAAGTTTCACTTTTCAAAAATCAAATATTTTATTTTTAAATATTAAATATAAAATTTTCAATCCCCATCCCCATCCTCTAACCATAAACGACGCTGCGGCGACCTGAACGACGCTGCGGCGGCGGCGGCGACGGCGACGCTCAATGTTGTAGCACCCACCGCTGCTGCAACGCCGGGATGATGCTGTCGCAGAGCAACTTCGCCCTTGCCGCTGCTGCAGTTCAGTGGTGCTATATGTGGGTGCAGGTGGTGATGGATCTGGCGACAATGGTGAGGTGATTTTGGCTTTGGTTGTTAGATCTGATTTGCGGTGATTTTCATGCCACCACTGTAGTTATGGTGAGGTGCTGCGGTGGTGAGATGCTGATGATGGCGGTGAATTTGCTTGGGGTGTGGTGGTAGTGTTGTTGGTGATGATGCTGCTTATGAAGGTTTAGGGTGGTTTTTATTGTTGGGAGTTTTTGTTGGTTGTACAGGTGGAGGTATGGCGGTGGTGGTGTGCTATGTGCGCTGTGGATGAGGTGATGGTGGTGTGCTATGTGCGCGGTGGTTAGTTGCAGTGACGGTGACTGATAATTTTAAATCTGATTGTTTGGTGGTGGCGACGGATAATATTGGCTGTGGTGCTGGTGAGTCGGAGGTGATGGTGAGATGTTGGTGGCGATGGGTATATCGAGGTGGTGGTGGATTTGGCGCGACGATGTGTATGTGTTTTTCTGCGATGTGTTGAAATGGTGTTGCTAGCGAGGGGTGGTGTTGGTTCTTGCGGCGACGGTGGCGGTATTGTTATCGGAGGGAGTGGTGAGGTGGGGGTCACGAGTGTTGGTTGTGGTCACAAATTATTTTATGGATTGTGACCATTAATTGGTTAATTTGTGACTAAAGAAAATATAAATTGTGACCAAGAAATAATGTGTGATCTAAAAAATTGTTAATTTGTGATCGATAATTTGACGGTTTGTGACTTATAATATTTGTGATTTATGACCGATGAATAAGTTGTGACGTATAAATTTTTTTATTTGTGACCGATAAACAAATTGTGTTATAAAATTGCTGAATTGTGACCTATAAAATTTTTGATTTGTGATCGTAAAATAATTTGTGACTTATGAATTTTTTGATTTGTGACCGATGAACAAATTGTGACATATAAAATTTTTGAATTGTGACCGTAAATAATTCGTGACGTTTCAATTTTTCATTTGTAATCGATGAACAAATTGTGACCTATAAAATTTTTGAATCGTGACCTTAAAATAATTTGTGACAAGTAAAATTTGTGATTTGACAAATTAATAATATGTGACCAATTATATAGAATTTGTGACCAAATTATATGGAATTGTGACCTTAATATATTTAATTAATAAAATATATGTTTAATTAATTAATTTAAAAATATTTGAAATTTGAAATTTTAAACTTAAGTTCTTCAATTTGAAATTAGTAAAACTAAACCTCTTAGTTATGTATTGTTTCCTTTCTTTAACCAAAATCCCTTGTTAACAAGGAAAAGAAAACTAAAATCATTCTATTCACAAGTGAGTCTGAGGTTCTAGAAGTTGGAGGAATCTTCATCCAGGCGACTTTAAGCTTTAAATTAAGGTCGTGGGACCTGTACATCAATTTCATACACTAATACAAGGCATTAGTTATCTTTCAATAATATCATTTTCTTCTCCACTCGCTTTCAATGAGTAACCTTCTAACTATTTTATTCTGTTTCATATCAAGAAATCACATTACACAAGCAAAGAAATAGAAACACACCCACAAATTTCAACTTAAATTAACTTATAAGCAGCTTCTTTACCCGCTCCTTATCATTTCTAAGTAAAATATAGTGCTTTGATTAAACTCACATAGAATAAGATTAAATAGCACTTGATAGTACGAAGATTAACCAGTAAATAGTTAAAAATAAATAAATTCTGATTATAACGCAATTTACTGATAACTTCAAATCAGTCTCATGCGTCGCAATTCTTATATAAGAATGTATGTCAATCCGGGTTTAAACGGCCCCTGTTGTACTTGAGGTAATGACTAACAAAACTGATATGGTCCCCAATTTTGAAGTTTCAGAACACGGGATTAGTTTTTTCATTCCCTAGTGTATTAATTGCTCAAAATTGGAAAAAATAATTTATTCTAATCTGAGAACTTGACGTCTTTTACTTCTTGCGCAGGTACAGGAAGCCAACCACCACTGATAAGCCTACAGCAACTGGAATAACCCAGTATTGTTTACTGAGGTTAATGACCTTTTGGGAAATGCCATCAACTTCTTGATTCTTAGAGACAATCTCCAGCTTAGGAATGGCTGGGGTAGTAGGGTCTAGTTCCCCAATGCAGAAACTCTCCATAAGTTCCCTTGCACTCTTGCTATGCCCAGCATCTTCGAATTCATCGGTGGCATCTTTTCCTTCAAAAGAAAAGCAAAACCCATTCATTGTGTTTCCGATGTATATTTAAGATGATCCTTTGAATTGAATAATCTACAAGGCACTTGCACTCTATCAAAAATAATTTAATTATACAGAATATAACAAACTCGTACCAGTTGCCCTTAGTAAGACATCATCTCCACCTGGGTGTTCGTCCAAATATGAAGACACATCATAAACCTGGCAATGCATAAGAGAAGGTTCAAGAACAAATGAGATTAAAAAAGAATGTACTCAAAAATTCGACAGGAGAGCTGAATCCTAAAACTCAGTGACTCCTTTGACACCATCATTTTTTGTGGGGGTAATGGAGCCAAGAAAAAAGGGAACAATTATAAGACTAATGCTACTTGTACAAAATAGAGTTACATAATGATTTACATATAGATGAGACGTCTAACAAAAAGAAAGGAAGTTTTTATTTTTATTTTTTATTTGGTTAAAGAAATTCTGACGCAATCATATAGCACCACATCACGTGTATATAAACTATTAAATACATGTAGCACAACCGTAATTATAATCAATAGCTCAACGGTGAAATATTTCTCCTTGAAATTAGTATATGTCAGAACTATTTTGTGCATAAATTCTAAAAGACTTGATACATTAAACAAGTTTACTTCCATCGACAAATGTGCACTTTAGCAGGAGTTTGATTGCCTCACTACACATACAAACTTTGTAAGATCCTATAAACAATAAGCCCTTGTTTGAGCGCCATTCTAGAAAATTTCATTTTTCCTCAAACTTATTTTCAACTGCACATTCTTTCAATAAAATAATTTACACGCAAACCCAAAAATGTTTTCAATTTTGTAGCCACACATTCTCCAAAAAAAAAAAAAAACCAATATTACAAAACCTATTTTTTCAATGGGGCTCAAACACACACTAAGTATTATACCCAACAATAATCAACTTATTAATAGGTAGCAAAGCGTGAATGGTTGTCTGAAATCTTGATCGAATTGATTGTAAAAAGCAATATTTTGAAAACTGACCCGGTCATCGA